TATCTGTTTCGCTGCCCCGAAAGACTAGCCTATCTGTTTTTCGGCGCTTTCTGCAGCGCTGTCTTCTCTTTATTGTGAGTTTGCCAATATTAACAGTAGGAAAAAAAAAATACTGCTGCGTGTTCCTTGAATATCAAGGTACAAATGGCAATTTTTATTTTATTTCTACCGTTACTATTAGAAAACCCACAATGAAGAGAAGGCAGCGCTGCAGAGAGCGCCGAAAAACAGATAGGCTAGTCCTTCGGGGCAGCGAAACAGATAGGCTAGTCTTTTGGGGCAGCAAAACAGATAGGATAGTCTTTCGGGGCAGCGAAACAGATAGGATATTGTTGCACGGACGCGTCGAGTCTGTCGCTGGAAACTATTAGCGTACGGCGTTGCCACATCGTTTGGATAAAAGGTCTATTCCAGCCACACTAAAGTATCGCTAACGACGTGAAAACCGATATCGTTTGAGACATTTCTCACTGCCCGACCCAACTTGTTATGTAGGCGTTAAGTTCATCGAGCCGAGTCAAGCGTGACCTCTGCTGAGGTCGGTAAGAGTTCACTGTTAGTCGCCGCCCGAGTCCGCTTCCGTCGCGGTGGGTCTAACTACGCGACGTTTAGGGTTCACCTCGTAGTACGTGGGTATTCGTGAGGAAGGGGAGGGGGGAGGGTTGTTCAAAATTCTGCAGCGACATGTTCCCTTCTATTTTACATCTTTTTGATGCATTCCGCTGAATGTGTGTAATTTTGTATTTGACGTTCTGCGTCTGCGTGTCGAAACAAAAACAGGAAAATTAAATATACGACTAATTAATGTGGAATGTTCGCAGGTACGCAAGCCCATTCCCTGTATCATGTGTTCAACTCACGCTGATAAATAAAGTGTTCAACCGGCGGAACATGCGTGTTTGACAGGATATTCGAATACTATAAAGTGTTTAACTGTTAAGTTGAATACTTAAGGGGAGGCTACATTGGAACTGACATCACCATGAATTGAAGGTCATAGTATTTTTACATTTGTGGTTTATTTCGGACTTTTTAAAAGTTCAAAAATACTGAAAAATTATGGCTTATTTATTAATTTTTAAAATAGAAATCAAATGAAATGCGTGATTATGCTCAAAAGTAAGTGTAGGGGGCACTTTAAAGCATGGGTCCGTAACGGGACGGCTTTTTGCGTTGTGGTAATGCGTTACCGCGTTCAGGTGAAGTACCGGACCGCTGTAACTCAAACAGGTCTATTCTGTTACTCATAAGGTAACGAATTGGAAAGTTCCACGTGACGTAACGATACTCCCACTTGTAACTGCGTGCGGTACATGATTGCAAATGGTCGCTACACAGTAACGTTACTGTACCGTTTATATTCACATAAAAGTACGTTTTGTCTGCACTTGTGTCGTTCCATAAAAAGAACGTTTCATATGCTTTGGTTCTAGACAGCGGTTACCTTTCCGTACCGTTTCAGTAACACGTCGGTTTGCATGCCGTTACAAACCAGACCATCACATCGAAATGTAACGTTTCAATAAGGTGTTTTATACCAAAAAAAATCGAAAGGAGGGGGGGGGGGGCAGAAAATGATTCTGAAGCCACATTTCGCTAGAGGTCCTGACAACTTATCTTGACCGAAGAGGCCTCCGAGCTCGGGTAGGACTGCACTTCTGGCGCGGTCAAGATAAGTTGTCAGGACCTCTAACCAGTGTAAATAGTAATGGTTCATTGTTGCGAGTCCACATCGCCGGGAGTCTGGCTCTTGGTCCGGCGCGAGCCAGACCGCCAGCAGCGCCCAGCCCAATGCTCACAGCCAGAGGTAGGTCGCAGGGCAAGGGGTGCGGGGAACGGAGGAACATGCAGATCCGGTAAACAAACCAGAGACGACAGTCAAGCGCAGCTTAGAAGGTCCGTATGGAAATCAAACGAGATGGCTATGGCTGCAGCAGACACGGGAGATAGACAACTCGCTCAAGTCGCCCCATGGCACAAGTCGCCCCAAGGCTAACTCGCCCCGATTTTGGGGCTGGGGCGAGTAGTAGACTTGTGCCATCTCGCCCCAGTAAAATATTTTTTCCAATTTTTATTCCATTTGAATATTGCTGGGCATTGTTAAGCGTCCCTCTCCTTCAAAGCCGAAGTCTTCTCTGGCCTCGTCTCTGGCCCAAATAGAAGTTCGAATCCACAGAATTGTGGACCGTACCAAGAAAATTGTCCCACTGAATTAACGCAGAATTCCTTAGTTCAATGGAAATTTAACAAATGGAAAATATGATATAATTTTTCCGCAAATTTAAGCGATTTTCCATTACCTAATGGGATATTTTCCCTAGAACCAAGAGAAAATTTTTATAATATTTTCTCCCCATTGAATCAACCGAACCCTTTTCTGGGTGGGCTGTGTAGAACACAGAGGACGACGACGTAGTCACATGCTTAAGAGCCATCGGCCACAACTTGGGCTGATTCTTTTAATGTAATTAAATATATAGAAGTTCACATTCATTGTAAAAAACTGATTTCAACTGGGGCGACTTTAGCGTTGGGGCGACATGTGTACGGGGCGACTTTATACCGGGGCAAGTTAGACTGGGGCGAGTTGTCCTAGATCCGCATACACGTCGTCGTTATCATTCCGCTCGAGTTCAGACACGGATCCGCCGCCACAAAAGAAAAGAAAAGCTGACCATCCCATACAGAGTTATTTTGAGCCCATCGGCGTAAAGGATTGTCATGGCAAGGTCCCGGACTGCAGTAACAAAACTGTCAATGTATCTGAGGGGAGGGAGGGGGTCTCTGCCCGCGTGACGGTCCTATCCTAAAAGCATTAGAAGGTTAGGTTAGCCGCGTGACGTGGGGGAGGGGGGGAGTCAAAACCACCCGAAATTTGCGTGACGTAATTTGTGAACGGCCCCTAAGTACACAATATTACTCTAAACGATTGTCCTTGATGAACGAGCCAGCGCCCGACGATATGCTCGGCTGCCCAAACGAGTGCAGCTAAACGTGTTCGTTGTTTACACATTGGTGCAGCCCTGTTCTGTGTTATGTTTGCCCGTGTCCGAGCAGCCCGTCAGCGTGCATCGCGAGCTGTCCATTCCCCTCCCCGTTCGCGTCCGGCGCGTCAGGTCTGTGTTCCGTAAGTTGGCGCACCTCGCGCACCTTACGCTCGAGCACCTCGTCATCGTCGTTTCGCTACAGCTACCTGCCCATTCCGTTGCCCCCGTATGCGTCGCACCGTGTCCATCTCGTCCGTATCTTCGGCGCTGAAGAGTCTCGCTTTTGCCTGCATTTTTGTTGTTCTCTAACCTCACGGTTGTCGGTTATTTGAAATACATTTTCACGACTTTTGGTACTATATGTGCTCTTCTTTATTCAGAACCGGGACACTGGTACTTTGGAGAAGCATCTTCTACGTAGCCATAAGGACAAAGAGATTACCTCGCTGAAAAGTGCAAATGGACCGCAGACCGTCAAGGAAAAAATAAGGGAACAATCAGGTGCCTACTTTACAAGTCAAAATGAAATAAGCCCACGCCAAATAAAACTTGCCTGTGTTCGTTTGGTGGCTGTGCACGGGCGACCATTTGAACGACGAGACTTTGTAGGGCATAGTCAGACCTCTGATTGCAGCAATGCCTTCAAACTAGAGGTAATTCCCCCCCC